CTTCCCATTAGCCGGCAGGGTCGCTCTCTCTTCTCTCGGGGTAATAAAGATGTTCCACAACGCTGGAAGGCTGCCAGGATCTCAGCTTTCACGAAAGAGAACAGGAGCCTCGGCCACAGGAAGAACTCTTATCCGCCCTTCTCCAGGCGTAATTTGGCAAGGTCCCACCCCAGAGGGCTGTTGTGTTTGTTGTCATTGCATGAGAACGGTACTTGGGACCATGGCCCACGAACCCACTGCCTCAATGGCCAACCCAGGGAGTGCAAAGAAATTCAGCCCCATCATCTTGAGCATCATATTTCTGCATTCATTGGGTTTCTGAGTTTTCCTGAGCCAGAAGGACAGGAAACGCCTGGAGAGGTATATTGGGGGGGGGGGGCTAAATGCTAAGCTAATCCTTGCCCTCTACTCTCTGAGAATCCCCCAGAAAAAAATCAGAACAGTGCAGGGCATCTGGATCATAGCATATCTCCTGCCACCTCCTCCGGCCTCCAATCCTTCTGCAGCATTCAAAGGTTTCCAGAGGGAACACAAACCGCCTCCGTCCACTTAGAGAGGGTCTCCTGTCTTCTAGACCAGTGATTCCCAACCTTGGGCCTCCAGATGTTCTTGGACTTCAACTCTCAGAAATCCTGGCCAGCAGAGGTGGTGGTGAAGGCTTCTGGGAGTTGTAGTCCAAGAACATTTGGAGGCCCAAGGTTGGGGACCACTGTTCTAGACCACTGGTTCTTAACCTTTGTTACGCAAATGTTTTTGGACTGCAACTCCCAGAAGCCTTCACCATCAGCCCTGCTGGCTGGGGTTTCTGGGAGTTGCAGTTCAAAAACACCTGAGTAACAAAGGCTAAGAACCACTGTTCTAGACCAACCACCCTGTTCTTGCTATTTATTCACACTGCTCTTGATCAGATTGGATTTCGAGCTTCCCCTGCAAAAAGCCAGCCTCCTGCTTGGACCGGTCCCTCTCAGGCAAGCTTGCTTTGGAAGCCGCAGATCAGCGTCGATGTTAAAAGTCTGACATCAAGCGGCCGGCAGAGAAACTGCTGGCTTAGTGAGAAGGCCAGGCAGCTCATGGGCTGGAGCCTCCCTCTGTGACCGGCCCATGTTCCTCAGTGTGTCGGTGGGGGGTCATCAGGAAGGAGGCATCGACGTTTTCAGGGGCATTAAAGTCTCTCCCGTTGAGGCCCTAAAATCCCTGCACAGAGCAGCAGACTTTCTAGGCAGGACTCATCAAAGGTCATCCAGAATTGGTACCACTTTCCTGCACAGAACAGGTAAAAATGCGACCCAAAGCGGGAGCACAAGCTCAGGGTTTTGTTTCATTCTTGGGCCAAGCCAGGTAAATGTGGGCAAACCTACACTCCACCAACAGAGGCAGAATAAGGCCGTACATCTACCCCAGGTGAACCTTCACGAAACATATTCCAGGTTCCATCCCAAGCAACTGAAATGGTGAGACTTAATGGTCAGCACAGACTGGTTGACTAACTTGACAAAAGGCTTCTTACCTCTGATACTTGATCAGCTTAACTAAAGAAGCCAGGGTTTGGAACGGAGAACCTTCTACGCAGAAAGCAAACGCTCTACTACGGGGCTGCAACCAGGCGGGCGTGAGACCCCCCTGTCCGTCCCGCAGCATCTCTGGGCGGAGATGGGAGCCAACTGCTTCAATTTAATTTATTAATTTAATTAATCTGGTTTACCTGTTCCTTCCCTCAGTTTCAGTCATGACTACCGTAGAGGAATCTGCTGATTTACTCCGCTGATCTCCACCGAGGTACTTTTCCCACGCTGGTAACATTCAATTAGGTCTCCGCTTCAAACCACGGATTAATATTCTGCCTCATCTCAAAGATCCTAAGCAGCTTTTCCTAGTTTGGATGCAACAAGAGACGGACATTAATTGGTTACTTCTCTGTTTCATCCTGGTGGACTAAGGGAGCAAGAGGGACAGACTCGAAAGGCTGGTGCTTATCTCTGCTTCTCAGGATACTTTGTCCGGATACTTACCTCTTTTCTGCTCTCATTCCATTCCAGCCTCAAAGGGGCCAGTGGTTTGCAAACCCCTTCAGACACCAAATAAAAAGAGCTACACTGGGTCCTCAGCATCCACAGGATCTGAAAATATTAAAAATATTCCAAGAAAAATCCTAGAAAGATTTACGTATTTCTAAAGACGAAATCACCAGAACCGGTGACTAGAGGGAGCCAGACACTATGCTATGTGTATAGTGCTAATAAAATAGTGTTCACTATTATCCACATTTTTCAGTATCTGTGGAAAGACAGCAGAAATGGAGATCCTTATTGCATTTCCAATAAATCTCATTACAGAAACTGAAACCATGACATGAATTTCTAGGTGGCTCTGGTGGACGCCAGATCCTGTTAAAATCGGCACCAAATGCCATGGGAACGTCTCATTGGGAAATCACCTTTTCCTGAGACTCCGACATGTTCAACATGGATGCCGCCGTGAGCATGTCTCGTCTTTGATTCGCTCCAGATGTGAGCTGGCATGATGGAAATAAAACGACCTAAACAGGAACTACGGCCGTTTCTTTCGCTGCCACTGTAGGGCGGCTGCCCTATAAGCCACTGCGGTCGGTATTTCCCAGTCCCACAAAGGCTGCCAGGCTAATAGAGAACTTGGCGCCTGCGATGGATGATCCTCTTCTTCTGAAACGCTTGGGGTGGAGGGAGGTTCCACACACACACACACACACTAAAGTTCTGACACACACGGCTCTCCCATCTGTTATCTGGCAGCCGTACATGTGAAAAAGATCTGGGCGCCTCGACAAGCTGCAAGATAAACAAAGCCGCAAAAAAAAAAAAAGTGGCGAAATAGGAGGGCCGTGTCCAGATCCAACAGGGAAAGAAAGCAACCCGCCGAACCCGCTTGGGTGAGACATCACCTGGAACACGGCACCCCGTTCAGGACACCATGGAATATTGATAATGATGATGATGATGATGATGATGATGATGATGATGATGATGAT